CTAGTGAAACTATAAAACACTGGTGACTGGTAGTGTGATCTAGTGAAACTATAAAACACTCACTACCAGTCACTAGTGTTTTATAGTTTCACTAGATCACTACCAGTCACTATCTAGTGAAACTATAAAACACTGGTGACTGGTAGTGTGATCTATCACACTACCAGTCACCAGTGTTTTATAGTTTCACTCACTGCCAGAAGACCACTGGTAATATCTGTAAAGAAACTAAACTCTCTTCTACCTCCTGTGACACAGCCGATCTTCACATAAGGAGTCGCAACTACTCAGCTCAACTTGGGAGAACTACTTCTATATAAACGTTTCTAAAATGTTTTGTCGAAAATTCATTGAAATACTGCGAATTCCGTGTGATGTGCTTAACCTAAAGTTACAAGTTATAGTTCAAGTAAACAGACGTCAAACCCAGTTTTGTTGCTGGCTATAAACTGTGTTATACGTAGATATATATATATATATATATGTAATCAGTTTCGTAGTTTTAGGTTCCAACTAAAGCGTCATACAGAGAATTATTTCTCCCTACAAGAAGGGCTGAGACGCAAGCTATTTGTTCGCGTGCTCGAACTGTGAAGCCGAGGGTTCACGGTTTTCGCGACCCACTGCCGCAAACCCTTTTCTGCCGTAAATATGCTATAAGAATGAAGGTCAAATCCCAGTGTTCGATCAGACGAGAGTAGTCATAGAGATGGTGGTGGATACAGTTCATTGGCTGTCTTCCCTCCACTCTATTAGTTGAGAATTAGCACGGTCATACACAGATAACAACTGCGCAGCCTTGCGTGGATATTCTGAAACAACGAAAAAACACACGGTCATACACAGATAACAACTGCGCAGCTTTGCGTGGATATTCTGAAACAACGAAAAAACACACGGTCATACACAGATAACAATTGCGCAGCTTTGCATGGATATTCTGAAACAACGAAAAAACACACGGTCATACACAGATAACAACTGCGCAGCCTTGCGTGGATATTCTGAAACAACGAAAAAACACACGGTCATACACAGATAACAACTGCGCAGCTTTGCGTGGATATTCTGAAACAACGAAAAAACACACGGTCATACACAGATAACAACTGCGCAGCCTTGCGTGGATATTCTGAAACAACGAAAAAACACACGGTCATACACAGATAACAACTGCGCAGCCTTGCGTGGATATTCTGAAAAAACACCTACAAGGAACGATTAGCATATTTCGTGTTAACTTACACTATTATCTAATTTTTATTCAGGTTAAAGAATATAAGATTAATATCTAATTGTTACTGTATCTTGAACTGTTTAGACGATCTGGAAGTCTGAATGCCACGTTTTTAAAAACAACCTCTATATCTTTGGTCTCGCGCAAGCCTGTTGTGATTTAGAATGTTATATATATATATTCCAAACATGTGATATGTGATGGAAAAATCCATCAAGAAATTGTTTAACATTTCAAATAATTCTTTCACTCCAAGTCGGCATATCATCATTAATAATATATTTTATTTTATACGGAGAATCACGCGTCAGTCTATATGCGGCTTTTCACAAAATCAGCTGTGTTATAATGGTTAATACCAGACAAAATAAGAAAAATATGAGATAAAAATTAGAAACTATATATGGAAGTCATTTGAAAATTGTTAACGTAACTTTTGTTTTGTTCTAAATCTTTCTACTAAGAAAATTCAGTTATTTCGGAGAAAACGAGCAAGAGATCAAAGGATTGATTGTCAGAAGGTAAAGTTTTATTGGAAGCTGCCTGTTAAAGTCAGAACATTAAATAGGAAACACTTCAAGTTCATACAATGAAACAAAATATTTATAAGATCACAGATTGAACCGTAAAATTTCACCAAAGCCACGAGACAAAATGTTAAAAGTGTCTCGAGTTGGATTATAATAGATAGTAATAGACTGACCTTATTATTACACTGGTGGAGTTTCTATAGTTCCTACTAGACACTAATTTTATTTCGAGAGAATTTTAAGAAAAGCACAGGTTTATTGGAATGATCGTAGAAATATTCTGAGAACTGTACATAACGTGAACGCAGGAGAATCACCCGAGTGTTTAAAAACTCGGTGTCTAGCGCAACGGTCCATAAAGTTTCATCTCTTTTAAGCCAGGATCTGAGTTTTCGAAAATAAAAAGCTAATCGTGGCTTCTTCCGTGTTTTGATAACACAATGATTGACAATTCCGTCAGGAGTGGTTTGCCACAGAACGGTGAGATTCAGAAACCAGTCACAAGAGAGGTTGGCACTTTACGTCATACCTTAGAAGACTTCCAGCTTCAATGCAATACTCGTATTGTTTCATTTTGATATACTTTTTTAAAAAAATTAACACGAAGAAACGTCAGAGCACACACACACGCAATCACACGTTAAAATCCATAACACAAATTAATGGACATGAAACATAAAATCCTTGAAGATTTAAAAACATGCTAATGAAACAGGAAATATTCCAGCAGATAACACCTAAGGTACCAAAATCGTGCGTAAAGGTTTTCCAATAATTATTTTGTTATTTGACGATGAAAAAGAACAATGTCATAAACCTCTACGACAGATATAAAAACATCTGGGAAGCGAAATACGAAACGCTTTGTTTTCACACGTTTCTGGGAGTATGTAAATATTTCATTAATAATGAACAAACAAAACACAACTGTATAAATGAAACACACATACATAGGTTTTGATTTGATTTCTATCAGTTTCCGGCTACTTTCCAAAAGCTACAGTCATTGTTTCAAAGTATAATCTGAATACTACCAGTCAGCAGTGCTTTAAAGTATTAATATACCAGTCAACAGTGTCTTAAGGTATAACTATACCAGTCAACATTTTTGAAAAATATTACTATACCACTACTAGTCATCAGTGTTTTAAAGAATAACGATACATACCAGTCACCAGTGTTTTAAAGTATAACTATACCAG